AATCACACGACATTGGAATGTGGATTTTATATGCTGTCTTGTTCATATTTATTTGTTGTCTTTGGGTTAGTACAATTTTTCATATATATGGCTGAACAGGTGTTGAAGTGTTCCTATTACTCGTGGGAATAAGAGCGGCTTTGAAACCAAGCACCAACTCAATTAGAAACAATCTTTTTCGGCTAAACGATCAATCCTGTGGATCCTTTAAATAAAATTTAGTTTATCTAATACCCTGTCTGCGATGATTGTCAGGTCGAATACATACGTCAAATTAGTAGAACAGTGTCAGTAAGTCAGACTAGCCCAACATAAAAACCTAGCAAAATCTAGAGAATAGTTCAGCTATCGCAAGCACTACATGCAGTTACACACAACCATACAATAGGATGGGACGAGATGACAGTTTTGAAATCTAATGTCACAGAATGGCGAGTGGGAAAGATTGAAAACAGAAGCTCGGTTTACCGAATCAACTGCAAATGCTTGTAAAAGAAGTAATTCAGCACCTGTTCAGCCGTATATTTCTGAAGATTCTACTACTTCAACGACCACAAATAGGAGAGGTCAAAGAAGACTATAAAACTCAAGTTTCAAAGTCGTGTGATTTTAATTCGTGATATGATTATGAACAGCAATAATGAATTGTGTTCCAAACAACTTTGTCATCCAGTAAATACTAATACTGTTTCACTGACTGTGTGATATATCTAATAAACAAACTAATATGGAATTAATTACTACCACCACAGTGCCCACGTTTTACACCTATATTAGTGTATGTGCAATCTCGAATAAGAAACATTTGTTTCCAGGTTTATTAATAAAGTATTATTGATCAAAAATGATCAACACTCACCAACTAGCTCGTTCCAGAGATCCAGATATGAATCCTCTGGGCAATTCATAACGACCAGGATATGTGAGTAATAAGTGGAGAGGCCAATTATCAGACTCTTCACTTGATGTCTTGACATTTTCTCGACATACATCCAACTACCATTCACTACGGAGTATCGGGATACTACCCAGCGTAGCAAGCGCTTGCAAGTATGCCAGTCCGTTGAAACTAAAGCTATAAGCCGATTTTGCTGTTTTCCCGCCTCTTGTGCATAACTATTTTGTCGTCGTCTGTTGAGTGAAGATGGTGTAATCTCCACAGCGATTTCTCCACCACAAGCGACGACCACTTGTTCTATAAGATCGAGATCAACGGATTCCGTTGGACTGTTATTAACTATGAAAAAAAGAAATGTGGTAAATTTCCGCGAACAAAAGCACGTAAGCGCACTAAGGCGTATCTAAAACATTCAAAGCATCTCATTTACTACACTTCATATCGCTTTTACAAAAGAATAAAAAAGGCGAAAATACAGCAAGGTCACCGTAAGTTTTCTTAAATTCTGAGTCATATTTGATAAAGTCTCAGGTCTGTAGTGTAAACTGAACCTTTGAACTTTTGTCTCAACACACTCACTCACTTCATCTTTTGATTTGTGACTCTCCTGCACCTACTAGGTTCGCTCTCTCCTCTTGTTGTACTTTCATTCAGCGCACTCTCCGAGCCTACCACCAGTCAAGGCAGCAGATAAGTTGTATAACACCTTTATATTTATTAAATTTGATATCTCATTTGTGTAAAAAATACTATTCCGTTGCCTGCAGACTTCCCGTTTGAATTTTTTATGCCACCACTATGATTTTTTCTGCCCTAATCGTGTGTTCTTCTGCTTACATTGTTGGTCATGAATTGCTGTGTATGCATGCACAACACATGTCCTAGCCACATCATTTGATGTAACAGCACCACCTCGTCTTTTGGTTTTCCCTCCTCATCTAATAATCGGCTGCTAACCTCAATACTGCTCTCCTTGTTTCGCCACTTAACACAGGAGACAGAAATCAAACACGTATTATCCAATACAGCTAGGCTACCTGGCCATGTCTTAGAGCCAGCCATAAATGAGTGTGGAGTGGACTGCTGAGCAGTACGCACGCTTTTTTTTCGACAGCCAGTCACCCGGATATCATGTAAAGTGGCATGTGTCGAACGAGCACTGTGGTGGTAGTAATTAATTCCATATTAGTTTGTTTATTAGATGTTTCACACAGTCAGCGAAACAGTACCAATATTTACTGGATGACAAAGTTGTTTGGAACACAATTCATTATTGCTGTTCATAATCATATCATGAATTATAATCACACGACTTTGAAACTTGAGTTTTATAGTTCCCTTTGACCTCTCCTATTTGTTGTCGTTGAAGTGATAG